GGGGACCGAATCCAGCTTGAGGACGGGTCGCACCACATTTATGGTGGTAGTCATCCGCCGGGGTGGCTTCGCGATGACCCGGAGCTGGATCCCGCTCCAGAGAGCAGCAGTGGAGGGTCCACGCCCAAGAGCGAGCCCAAAGAGGAGGCCGAGCCGAGACCTCCGCGGGAAGCAGCTCCGCGCGGGCGGGCCCTCGAGCCGCCGAAGGGCGACGTTCAGCAACGCCTTGCGGAGCGTCGTTCCAAACGGGATTATTCGCCAGACCTGGTGACGCCTCTTGACGATCTCCATGCCCAGGAGATCGATTCCTTCTTCGCGGGCGACCCAGCCGCGGACAGCCTTGACGTCATTCTGATGCGCGCCGAGGTTCGCACTGAGTCCCACCTCAAAGTTGGCCGGGAGGAGGAAGTGCCCCTGGTCAAGGAGGAACAGGAGGAGGAAACAGAGGTTGTCAAAGACGAGGAGGTCTCGGTTGAGATGGAGGAGGGCACCGCGGATGAGGCGGACGAAGTCGCCCTCCCAGCCAACCGAGCCTACGTCGAAGGCCGCTTTTACCCCTACGGCAGCTGGCGGCGCTTCTTCTGCGAAGCCATTAACCCGGTCACCGAGGACCAGTGCCTCACCACGCACGCGGGCGGCCCGAACGCGGGCGCCCCGTGCGACGGCCGATGGATCAATGGGATCGACATCGGGTGGTGGGAGGTAGATCCTCAAACCGCGCCGGAGCAATGGCGGCGGAGGTTTTCTGCCGAAGAGCTTGAAGAACAGCAAGCGCGGGCAGATGCCGCGAGGCTTCTCAGCGATGAGGAACTCGCTGAAGCCCTCCAGGCGGCCGAGGAGGCGCGGGCGGCCGAGCGCGCCAAGAAGCGGGAGCGGCGCCAGGCGGAGAAGGCAGAGCGCGATGATCACATCAGCGAGGCGCTCCGCATAGCAGGGTGGCAGTGCCCTAACTGCTATGAATGGAACCTTTCATTCAGGCAGCTGTGCTTTCGGTGCAGCACGCCTCTCCGCTTGGCAGAGGTCGTTTCCCGCGGGATCCCGGATCCGCGGCGCGGCGAAGAGAGGGACTCGGGCTCCGAAAGCAGCCAGGACGAGCTGGAGTACGAGATCCTTCTGGCCAATCGCGCGATGGACCAGGAAACCATCCAGCCTCTTCTTAGAAATAAACACAAGAAGAGGGGCGGCAAGAGACGTCGCGAAGAGGCGACGTACGGCAAGGGCCGCGACCCTTGGAGTGCGTGGGCAGACGCCCGTGGCAAGGGCCAGGGCAAGCCGAAGGGCAGAGGCAAGTCCGATGCCAAGGGCAAGCCCAAGGGGAGGGGCAAGTACGCCTGGGGCGCTTTCGCCGCGGGCATTGTTGCCGCGCTCCAACCCCGCCCAAGCACAAGCTGGGTCCCAGCTTTCCCGTGCGGGTCGGCCCGGCCGCCGCCAAGTGTTCCGCTTCCGCCGCGGACCCCCTTTTTCCTGGGTCGCGGGCTCCTCAATCGGTTGATGCACGCCCTCAACGGGAACATCAACGGCTGGTGGGGCCTGGCGGCTGCAGCGTCGGCGCCGATTGCCTTGCAGTTGCACCGCGGGGTTGTGCATGTTGTCGAGGACTCCATGCACGCGGTTGCAACGGTTTCGGCCGACGTTGTCGAGGAAATCGGCCATGGGGCCAGGCGGACCGTGTGGGTCGCCGGAACAGCCATCACTCTGGTAGTAGTGATTTTGTGCGGCGCTGTTCTGTGGTACGTGAGTCGTGCCGTTGCCAATCGCATTGCGCATATGCGACATGGCAACACCGCGGCCCCTGAGGCGCGGCTGTCTCAACTCCTTGGCTCTGAAGCGACGTTTGAGGTCGCGAGCTCCAAGAAAGGGGTAACCCATAAGGTTTGGGTGCACCTCAAGGAGGAGACAGCTGCCTGTGGCTGTCGTGCTTACCTGGCAGAAGGACGCTGCGGGCATTGCGATGCCGCAATGGACACCGCTCGTTCCTTAGGGTTTTTGCACGCGGCCCAGCGAGGCGCGGGTCCTGCGCTCACAGACTCCATTCGGAGTACCGCCTCCGAAGCCCTGGCTAAGGGTAAGGTTGTGTTGGGTTTGGGAAACAGTGAAGGATGTTTCTCCCAACTTGCGGCTAAGAGCCGCGGGCTCTCCTGCTTTCAGGGGCTCGCGGGTCGTGACCTGGCCGCGGCAACAGCAGATGGAGCGAGCGCAGCCCACGCACAGTCCGGCTCCGTGCAACGTGCCGCCACTCCCCTTTGTGGCGCGCACGCCAGGCCGGAGGAACAAGGGCCCAGCCCCCGCTAGGAGTTCTCCAGTCAAAGAAGCGGAATTCCTTGCGGGCGGGCCATACGTTCAGGCCGCCCAAACGCTGCTTGGGTCTGGAGCAGCAGAGGATGTGATCTACATCCGCGCGTATAGCTTAGATTGCCCATCCTGCATCGAGGCAATCGAAGCGTCGCTTAGCAAGGGCGCAAGCGTTCGGATTGTCGCCGACATGGGGCAATGCCACCGCACCAAGCTTCAGTGGCAAGCGTTGAAACGCTTGGCGGCTGCAGGTGCCGAGGTGAAGGTGGGTTGTGGCACATCCGTGCGCGACGCCTAGCTCGCGACGGCCGCGGGGCTAAGGTAGGCACTGGGATTCAAGGGCTTCACCATGCCAAGGCCCTTTGCCTACTGCGGCCTGACGGCGCGGTGGTGCTGATTGGGAGCCTCAATTTTACCACAAGCAGCAAGGCCAATGCGGAGGCAGGGCTTAGGCTTGAGGTCCCCAAGACGCACTCAGTCGTGCAGTCCTACATCGAGGATTTCCAGAGGGTGTCGGCTGAGGCATTCTCCCTCGATGAGGCGGTCGCAAAGCGCCCTCAGTTGGAGCGAGCCAGTAGCTCCAACGTTGCTGGCATCGCCGCTCGTGCCCCCAACACTGCTCCACAGGGTATCGAGTAGGCTGCGGCCAGTCGGCGCGGCGTGGAATGGTTTCCACGCGAATTCTTAGGCATCGCAGCGCGGCACGCTGTCGAGCCTCTTTTGATTGTGTTTTGCTTGCGGGCGAAGAGCCGCAGCAGGGGTTTTCCCTGCCCATTTTGCCTACCCCGCACTTTTCTCCTCAGCCCGTTGCGGCTGCTGCGGACCGTGTCCTGGTCGCGGCAGTGCGCTCGCCGAAGCGCGTGCGAGTTGCATTGCCTGCGGCACATGCCATGTGCGCGGCTCTCGCTGAGTCCGGTAGCCCGTAGGGTAGTTCTGGATAGGTGAGTAGCCGTAGCCGTAGCTTAGGACCGGCCGTGTACAGTGTACCATCTGTACCATAGATTTCAGTGTCTGCCGTAGCAGTCCTCAGGGCACTCAGTAGGCTCTGTGTACTGGAGCCTCGACTCAGGTCGTGCAAAAGACCGGACCGCCTGGTTTAGGCTGGTTTTGGAGGGTCGCTCGTTTGGGTCGTCTCGTTTCGCGTGTCTTCGTTTGCGGGCTTGCGCCCAAAGCCGCGACGGACGCCCGCCCTCCTTGTGGAAGTCACTCACCGGAGCCTCGGCTGAGGGGCGAATGTGAGCTGACATGAGTGCATATGCATCTTCTGCTCTGTGATGCATTAGGACTCGGCAGACCACCTTGTAGTTTTCCTTTGCATGTAGAGTTTTGCAATTCGTATCAATGCCAATATTTTGGCTCAAGTACCGAGCTTGTGCCTTTGAGCACGGTAGAGTCGTACAGTAGCTCTTAGGTTGCTGTGCGGTCCGACCGGACGCACTCAGGCGTAGCTGCACAAGTGCTTGAACTCGCGAAGTCGTAAAACAGCGTGGCCGGGCTGTGATTGCATTGGCTTAGTGCAAGTCCAGTGCTGGTCGACTTCACAATAATACATATATACATATATACATATATACATATATACATATATACATATATACATATATACATATATACATATATACATATATACAGATATATACACATATTATACATATATATACATATATTACATATATACATATATACATATATACATATATACATATATACATATATACATATATACATATATACATATATACATATATACATATACATATATACATATATACATATATACATATATACATATATACATATATACATATATACATATATACATATATACATATATACATATATACATATATACATAGATATATATATATATATATATATTTTTTTTTCGAAAAAGACATGTCAGAGAGAAACAGAGCAAGAGAGGGTCACACGCACCCCACCCCCCGCACACAACAGGGTACAAGAGAAAGCGGTTGCAGCATAGCAAGCCGCAGCTTGACCCGCAAAAGCAGGCACACCAAACCGCAGAGGAGGGTGAGGAAGCGGACGCGGCACGCCAATAAAAGGACCTAGTTTGTTCAGTCTGTTTGTTGCTATTGTTTGCTTGCTGGGTTTGCTGGTGTGTTGAGTGACAGCGTGTGCAGCGTTATAAGGGCTTTTACACAGGTTTTCTACAAGCTTGAAGTAGAAGCTCTTTACACTGTCATACGGCGAGTCATACTGTGTTCAGCACGCGCTCTCATTGCGCCCTCTTCGAGAGCTTCACGCTCGGGGCCCGGGCAGGCGACCAGCCCCTCTTAGACAATTGGCTGCAAAGTCCATCACAATCCTTGTACTTCAAGGACAAGTTCATGCAATCTTGCAAGCACAACATGCCCAGCATGAACGCGTCAAACAGAACACTCCACCATGCCTACTTCTGAGGGCGGCGCCAAAACTGGAGAAAACAAACAGCGCCCCGAGTGGTGAGAGAAGGCGACAGGGGGCTTGCCCTGCTCTAACTCAAGAAATAGCTTTGAGAAGCTTACGACTCAGAGCCGATGGCGAAGGCGAAGGCGCCTACACGTTGTCTTTCCAAGTTCATCCGCACTCTTGAGCCCAATGACGCTTCGGGCCGCATCTAACTCAAGCCCTCTCTGAGCCCACCGTCGCGGCTCCAATTTTGTTTTTTTTCTCTCCGTTTTCTCCCACATGGCCGCGACTGCACCTCATATCTCTGGCTTGATCTCACTGCCGTGTTGGCAAGTGAAAGGCCCAGTGATCTGCTCCGGCGGGAAGGTTTTCAGCCATTCGCTTGCGGAGCCGGTCTGGTTGTCTTGCTGGAGGCTGGTATTGTACTCGTACATCGTCACGCCGGTCCAAACCTGAGCAATTTCGCGCTTAGGGTTTTGGGTTTTGGGTTAGGATTTAGGGTTTATAGGGTTTAGCATTTAGCGTTTAGCGCTTAGCGTTTAGCGTTCAGCGCTTAGTACGCTCAGCGCGTACAAACCCACGAGGAGCCATGCTCTGCAACTGGTCCCCAGGGCAATGTGATGCTAACCGAATCAGTGGAACCAGCTACCTCGTTTATCTGGGAGGGTCGCAGGGCAGTTCTCGGTTGCTCCATGCGCTTTCGAAGGATCTCCTTTCAAAGAACCAACATGCCAGCTCGGCTGCAAGGGGCATTGCAGTTGATGATCGAGTGCAAGATGCTGTACCATTGTGCGTCACGCCGACGGTACATCACCTACAACATGCAGGTAAAGAAACCACGAGCTGGGCACAACATGGCACAACGCATTTGCAGGAGCTGACTCGCAAGCAGCCCAGTCTAGACTGACGCTAGGCGCACGACTCTAAGCCCAGCACTGCGTCTTACAGCAAACCGTCGACGCACATACGCTGCACAGCAAAAGCGGCCTGAAGCTCGTTGCTGAGCAGCGCAGCAGAGAGGGACAAGCTGGAGAAGGCCAAGACCAAGTTCCTTTGGAATGTTAGGACTGCCACACCCCTGCATTGCACCAACGAAGCACACGTTGCACGCGGCAGGATAGAAGGTTAAGTATACGTAACGTATACGTAGCACATGCCGATCGAGAACTGTTTTTTCCAAGCCCGTGCCCTCTTCGACCCTTCTAAAAAAATAGCTGACCTTCGCCCACCTCCCGCCCCGCCAATTGCCGAATTCGCCAAGCTTCTGCGCACGAATCATTGCTGACAAATCCTGAGCGCATCGTGTCATATTGTCCACAACTAAAGCTTTTTTCGTCCCAAGGGACAAACAAAAACAAACGCTACAGGTCGACCGTCTTTAGCAGTCTCGAACACTTGCCACACCTTGTTTCGCCAAGCCTCGCCAGCCAGTGTCATGTCACTCGGCCGGGTGATGCCTATTCCGTGTGCACGCCCATAGTCCACCAGCCAGCCGTCACAAGCAGCATCCGACCGTCTGGTCACAGGATTGGTTTTTGCGACAATCTGCATGGACCTATACCCAAACTCGGCAATGATCTTCTGATACATGCTACATGGCGGCTGACCCCACTCATACTCGCCCTTGTTCCACCGATGGACATCATCTGCGCGCAAGTGGATGGTGAGAACGCGGTCTGTCCCGACATCACGCGGTGCCTGCACAAGATTTGCAAGAGTCTTGCCAAGGTACGGGCGCAGAAAAGCCTTCATCACCTGCCGGTGGTGCCAGGCGGGGACCATCCGGCAGTGGTGCTGGTACCAGGTGTGATTGTTATACATGGGGCAGCTGATTGGGATGTTCAAGTCTTCATGGCGTCGAAGCCCTGCTGGCAGCGTAAGGTCTTCAGGCATGTCTAAGAGGCCATCCTGCTGCTGATAATTGCGGCCCCCGACTTGCATGTAGATGTGCGGTGGAAATTTGACATGCGTAATGTGACACAGGAGGGCTGCCACGACTGCCTGGCTCACCTGAAAGTAATGGTTGCCAATCCGCCCGTTCCACTCATTGACTCGAATCTCTGGCGGGCACTTCGTCATGCTGCGCGGCAGGTCTTGCTGGTCGGCAAGGGAAAACAACGAAGGCATGGCTGATGATGAGGTCGATGCGGAAAAAGGTTGCGATTGTGCTGTCACTGCTTCCGCGGCAAGAGCTCGTCCCGTCTCACTACCGAGCCCGGGCTGCACCACGCTGTGGGAGTCGCGGCCGCCTGGGCCAGGCCGAACAGCAATGGTTGGCAACACATAGTGGCCACTCAGTGCAATAAGCACAAATATTTCGAAAACAATAAGGGTCACCATCCGAAGTCTTGAGCTCATAAGCTGTGGCACACATGCCGGCAAAACCAAGAGACGCAGTTCAAACTGGAAAATGGTTGAGAAAGAAGAAGAAACAAGGAAACAAACGATCCTGACTACCCTTTTGCACCATATGCAGGGAACCATGAAGCGGGAGCTGAGGGCTGCAAAAGCAGAGTGCACCACGCAGCGCCGTGTCAACGGACTGGATGGAGGAGTCGCAATCCCATTTGCGTGGTTCGCCGCGATTCGCCGCGCACCCCGCCCCAAGCGCCGACCAATGCGCATCGCCCGGTCCGCCCTCGCCCGCGCCGCTCGCGAGACCACGCCAACTGCCGGCCATCAGTGACATGTCCGTTTGTCGCAGGCTGCATCGAGATCTGCACCAATAGCATCGGCGCGCCAGCCCTGCAGCCATTTACTGCTGTCTGCCAGCCGCTCTCGTTCAGCCATGGCCTCTTGCGAAGATTGCGGTCGCTGCGGGGCAGCGAACGTGCCCCGGTTGAAAGGCATTGCACTTGGCGCACAACGGGCTTGGTCCTCAGCTACTTGGCGGGCATGTGGCCAGGCATTGCAGGCAGTGGTGCACATGGCGGAGGTGGCGGCGGCAGCGGAGGCCGCTGCCCCGGCCGCGGCCCCGGCCGCGCCGCTCCCCACTGGCCATGATGCACGAGTTGAGCGCAGCCGCTCCCGCAGCCGATCTCTGGACAGCTACTCGCCGCCCGCCCCTGGCCGTGAGTCGCAGGGAGAGGGCGGTCAGGCCCCCTGCAGCTCCACGAGCTGACCATCGCCGCAACGCGCCGCAACGCGCCGCAACGCGCCGCAACGCGCCGCAACGCGCCGCAGCCACCGCGCCGACGAGGCAGCCGTCGCGGAGGTGGACGCAGCGGACTTGGTGATGCGGGAAGCAAAGGCCACGGTCATGCAGGGGGCAAACGCAACGGCAAGGGCGCCGGCAAGGGCGATGGCAAAGCCGAGCAGCTGGCCAGGGCCATCTTGGGATTGGGCCGTGAGCGCCGGTAGATCATTTTTGGCTATTGAGCCCTTTTTGAAAGGTTCATGTGCAGACTGCCTCTGCAGCCACAGGCGCTGGCGCGGCCAGACCACAGCTGCCGTGGCGCGGCAGGCGGCGTGCACAGCACTGCCACGCATTTGCCAGCGTCGACCCATGCAAAAAGTGCCGGGGGTTGGAGCTGCTGGGCTGACATGTTGCTGTTTGCACCTTCTGTCGTGGAAGCATGCGCGCGCCTCACCCGTTCTTTGCCCGCCCCAACCGGTCATGGCAAGGCGACAATGGGGACCCACATGTGCGAGCATTACCTTACACCTCTCGCATCGCCTGCTGGGAGCCCGAGACAGCATCTCCGCCCGGGCGAAGCGGCCCCAACGCAGGCAGAGGAGGCAACGCCCGGTTTCACGCCGCCGCCCTCACCGACAGCACAGCCGCCCCATGGCAAGATGCTCGCCCGCCCAGCGCCCAGCCAGGGATCGCAATTCCTGGCTGTTCGTGCCGCTGTTGCATGCGGCGGCTGGCAACCGGCCTTGGCAGCTTGGCGCTCTTTACCGGGACGACGCGGCAGGGCGGTTCGACGCACTGGCTGGCGCGCTGCGGGCAGCGCCGCCGGCGGAGCCGAGCTGTCTCGCGCGCCTGCTGCACTGCGTTGCGGAGTGCGGCGCCTCCGGGCATTGCCGTGACAGACGCTGCGCTTGCCACATCCCCCATCCCTCTTGCAACGGCCCTTCTCCTCGCGCAGGCCCCAAACGGGTACGTGTTTGCGGCTGCCCAGTCCGCTTTATCTGTGCTGGCATGTGGGGTGTCTTTGACGTTACGGGGAAAATGCTCCGGAAAAGCCAGTTTTCTCGAGAAGCCCCTGAAGAGCCACTTTTCTCGAAAAGCCACTTTTCTCGAAAAGCCACTTTTCTCGAAAAGTGACTTTTCTCGCGGCGTTTGCGCGCGCCACGTCCCTGAAAAGCAACTTTTCTCGAAAAGCCCCTTTTCTCGAAAAGCCACTTGTTGCGAAAAGTAACTTTTCTCGTGGCGTTGGAGCGCGCGGTGTCCCTGAAAAGCCACTTTTCTCGAAAGCCACTTTTTGCGAAAGGTGTGGCGTTGGAACGCGCGGTGTCCGCAAAAGCCACTTTTCTCGAAAAACCAATTTTTTCGAAGAATAACTTTTCTCGCGGCGTTGGAGCGTGTCCGCGAAAAGCCACTTTTCCCGAAAAGCCACTTCTTGAAAAGCCACTATTTGCGAAAAGTGAGGGTTTAGGGTTAAGGGTTAAGGGTTAAGGGTTAAGGGTTAAGGGTTAAGGGTTTAGGGTTTAGGGTTTAGGGTTTGGTTTAGGGTTTCAGTAGGGTTTAGGGTTTAGGGTTTAGGGTTTAGGGTTTAGGGTTTAGGGTTTAGGGTTTAGGGTTTAGGGTTTAGGGTTTAGGGTTTAGGGTTTAAGGTTTAGGGTTAAGGGTTTAGGGTTAAGGGTTTAGGGTTTAGGGTTTAGGGTTAGTAGGGTCTAGGGTTTAGTGTTGAGGGTTGGAGCGCGCGGTGTCCGCGAAAAACCACTTTTCCCGAAAAGCCACTTTTCTTGAAAAGGCACCTTTTGCGAAAAGTGACTTTACTCATTGAAAGCCGGAAAAGGTAGTGTGTCCGTTGCGTGTGGATTCAGTTTGTGCACCCACTTCTCTCACCGTCGTGGGCAGCTGCGCGATAGCCATACGCAGCACTTCCTGGTGGGGCTCTGTTCACAGGACTACTAAGTTAGCAATGTTAACCTTAGAGATTCTAATTTATTGCCTTGCCGTGCCATAGCTCAGAGAAGCGGAAAAGGAGGTGTAGAGGTTTTCTTGGTTGCTTCAATGGTGGGTGCCGTGGCACTTAGTGCCGACGCGTTGCATGTTCTCGAGAAGCTATTTTCCTGAAAAGCTACTTCTACCGAAAAGCCACCCGTTCGCGAAAAGCCACGATTCGACAAACGCTACTTGCATCGAAAAGCTGTGTTGGTTGTTGTTTGTAAATGTGCCTTTTCTCACGGCGTTGGGGCGCGCAGCATTCGTAACAACACGTCTCTGGACAAGCTACTGTCAGAAAAAGCGTTGCCTGTGGCGTATTCCGGAATGCCACTTTAAATAAACTGATTTTTCTCGCGGAGTGGGGGCGCGCAGCGTCTTAGAAAAGCCACTTTTCTCGAAAAGCCACTTTGTTCGAAAAGCTACTTTTTGCGAAAAGTTACTCTTCTCGCGACCCCGCAGCGTCCGCGAAAGCCACTTTTCTCGAAAAGCCACTTTTCTCGAAAAGCAGCTTTTCTCGAAAAACCACTTTTTGCAAAAAGTGACTGTTGTCGGCGTTGGAACCGCTGTGTCCGCGAAAAACCACGTACACTTAGCTTAGGTGTTAGTTCGGGAATACTGCGGCGCTACGTAAAAGCTACTTAAATGGTACTTAGTTTTCATGTCTTTTTGTGTCCAAAGCACAGCACGAAGCCAAAAACGTATCAAAATATGAATTTTGTTGGTTAAGAAGTTTTCTTTGATTTGTAGGCTGTTAAAGTCACAGTGTTCTTGGTACAATTTGGAGGCCTTTTGCTCAAGGAGCTGCGTAGCTTTTTAGGAGTTTTTCGTATAGGCCTTGCAACTGCCATGACGGAGGTCGTGGACCGCAAACTTCATTTCCGTGGCGAAATACAACGACGGCTAATTCTTGTATTTTCTCGTATTTTCTTGTACGGCCGGATTCTTGTTTTCTTGTGTAGAACGATAGGCCTCTGCAACAACCACGGCCCATTCTTGTTTTCGTGTATGACCAGCAGCATCACATGAGCCATGTCCTGTAATCTGTTCCAGCGTCCTGGCCGGGATCTTGTATTCTTGTATGGCTGGCACGGGCCGTTGCCTCTGATTCTTGTATGGTTCTTGTATGGATTTCCACGTGCCGACAAACACCCATATTCGCGCGCAGCCGCTCTGGTCTGCCCGAGCCAACTTCTGCAGCTTCCTAGTTCCGCCCTAAACGGGTTTAGGGTTGAGGGTTTGGAGCAACTTTTTAAAAAAAGAATGGAGACTCTCACACATGTCGTCCTACATTTTGCTTGAAGCCCAGCACAGTTTCCGCGGACTTCCTGGCGACGCTCTAGGATCCGCGGCGAGAACGCTGTTTTTACTTGACGCCCAGCACAGTTTCCGCGGACTTCCTGGCGACGCTCTAGGATCCGCGGCGAGAACGCTGTTTTTGCTTGAAGCCCAGCACAGTTTCCGCGGATTTCCTGGCGACGATCTAGGATCCGCGGCGAGAACGCTGTTTTTGCTTGAAGCCCAGCACAGTTTCCGCGGACTTCCTGGCGACGCTCTAGGATCCGCGGCGAGAACGCTGTTTTTGCTTCAAGCCCAGCACAGTTTCCGCGGACTTCCTGGCGACGCTCTAGGATCCGCGGCGAGCACGCTGTTTTTGCTTCAAGCCCAGCACAGTTTCCGCGGACTTCCTGGCGACGCTCTAGGATCCGCGGCGAAAACGCTGTTTTTGCTTGAAGCCCAGCACAGTTTCCGCGGACTTCCTGGCGACGCTCTAGGATCCGCGGCGAGAGCGCTGTTTTTGCTTGAAGCCCAGCACAGTTTCCGCGGAGTTCCTGGCGACGCTCTAGGATCCGCGGCGAGAGCGCTGTTTTTGCTTGAAGCAGCCACAGGGGGGGGGGGTTTTTTTTTTCGGGGACTTCCTGGCGGACGCTTTAGGATACGCGCGTGAAGCAAGAGAACGCTGGTTCTTGCTTGAAGCCCAGCACGTTTCCGCGGATTCCTGGCGAGATTTAGGATCCGCGGCGAGAACGTTGTTTTGCTTGCAAGCCAGCACAGTTTCGCAGGAGTTTCCGCGACGTCTAGGATCCGCGGCGAGAACGCTGTTTTTGCTTGAAGCCAGCACCGTTTCCGCGGACTTCCTGGCGACGCTCTAGGATCCGCGGCGAGAACGCTGTTTTTGCTTGAAGCCCAGCACAGTTTCCGCGGACTTCCTGGCGACGCTCTAGGATCCGCGGCGAGAAGGCTGTTGTTGCTTGAAGCCCAGCACAGTTTCCGCGGACTTCCTGGCGACGTTCTAGGATCCGCGGCGAGAACGCTGTTTTTGCTTGAAGCCAGCACCGTTTCCGCGGACTTCCTGGCGACGCTCTAGGATCCGCGGCGAGAACGCTGTTTTTGCTTGAAGCCCAGCACAGTTTCCGCGGACTTCCTGGCGACGCTCTAGGATCCGCGGCGAGAACGCTGTTTTTGCTTGAAGCTAGGATCCGCAGGATCCGCGGCGAGAACGCTGTTTTTGCTTGAAGCCCAGCACAGTTTCCGCGGACTTCCTGGCGACGCTCTAGGATCCGCGGCGAGAACGCTGTTTTTGCTTGAAGACCAGCACAGTTTCCGCGGACTTCCTGGCGACGCTCTAGGATCCGCGGCGAGAACGCTGTTTTTGCTTGAAGCCCAGCACAGTTTCCGCGGAGTTCCTGGCGACGCTCTAGGATCCGCGGCGAGAGCGCTGTTTTTGCTTGAAGCCCAGCACAGTTTCCGCGGAGTTCCTGGCGACGCTCTAGGATCCGCGGCGAGAGCGCTGTTTTTGCTTGAAGCCCAGCACAGTTTCCGCGGAGTTCCTGGCGACGCTCTAGGATCCGCGGCGAGAACGCTGTTTTTGCTTGAAGCCCAGCACAGTTTCCGCGGAGTTCCTGGCGACGCTCTAGGATCCGCGGCGAGAGCGCTGTTTTTGCTTGAAGCCCAGCACAGTTTCCGCGGAGTTCCTGGCGACGCTCTAGGATCCGCGGCGAGAACGCTGTTTTTGCTTGAAGACCAGCACAGTTTCCGCGGACTTCCTGGCGACGCTCTAGGATCCGCGGCGAGAACGCTGTTTTTGCTTGAAGCCCAGCACAGTTTCCGCGGAGTTCCTGGCGACGCTCTAGGATCCGCGGCGAGAGCGCTGTTTTTGCTTGAAGCCCAGCACAGTTTCCGCGGAGCTCCTGGCGACTCTCGGCTTGCCCCTCCGCGCTTTCCGCCGGCGAAGAGGTTTGCCACCTCATCAACCTCCACCGACTCCACCCGTCCTGCGATTCTCAGTCTTGAGGTACACCATGCATGGCAATGCCACGACTACTCACCAACTTGCTCAACCCATGTGGACTGTATGGGCTGCTTGCTGCAAGAAGGCTCTCCGCCTTCAGAAAATCAGTCGGGCATTTTAACCGCGTCAGGTGGCGACTCTCTCTATCTCTCTAGGGCAAACGAACTTGCCACAGCCTTCGGCCATTTCTCAATTTCTCAATTCGCACGAGGAACACAGAAACTCACCGCGCAGCTGCTTGCCCGGAGGTAGTCTCGCGTGTCCTCCCAGCTCTGGTGCTTCAGCCACTGTCCAGGAAGGAAGTCGGTCTGCACCCACTGCAGGTTACGAGGCGAAGGCACAGAGAACAAGGGCTGTCGGACGGAGGTGTTGTCATTCACAGCCAAGAAGACCTGGTTTGGGTTCCCAAATGCTGCACTTGCACAAAAAGTCGACGGCGCGCAGAAGAGCAACGGCGCCGATGCCAGAAAGTGCCAGTCCTCCTCCTGAGTGCCATTGGAGCGCAGCTCCACCGAGACGTTCCTCTGCTCCATGTACTCCTGGAAATCCTTGATGCATTTGCCACAGATATTCTTCACATCAAAGGATATGGATTCGCCCACAACGACCAGATTTTGCACATTGGCCGGTAAGCGGTCTGCCACGAAGCGGTGCCTCAAGAGACCATAGTCAGCGTGTCTCTTCAGGATGTTCGGATCACACCGAACATGTACCACAGCAAAGCTGTTCCGGCTGTTCCGCCCTGGATGTACTGTCTTGACGACTGCTTGCGTCTCCGAAGACATTGTTCTCATGATGAGCTGCCAGGGAGACCGGGGACTTTCTGCCGGAGCCCTGCAAGTGAGACAGGCCTCTGCATCTCTTTCAAGCTTCAAGAACAGCGATTGCATGTGTGAAGTCTCTGAAGGCGGAACTTGGGGAGCATGCTGTGGCAAACGCTTCAAGATCTCGGAGCCATGCAATGGAGAATTCACAGCTGCAAAGACCAGATGCTTGAATGTTGCCACTGCTCGTGCATTCCAGTAGTAAAAATACGAGTTCCCCAAAGCCAGGTCTGGCCATTCGTATGCGGCCTCATTCTTCAAGAATGCTTCCAAGACACGCGCGGTCAAGTCAGTACTCAAGTGGACCCTTTCGAGGTCCACGTTGAGACTTGAAAGATTCACCCACTTGCCCATGTCCACATCTTCAGAGGAACTTCCGTCTGCCTCGTAGGCCGCCCGGGAGAGATTCTGCAGATTCCCATCAACAATGTCGGATGCCAAGGCCTGCGAAAGGGCATAGCATCGGCCATCAAAATATGGGCTTCTGAGGGTCCCGGTCTTTAAAGAAGCTCCATGCTTCAAAAGGCCAGAAAAACTGGTCATCATCAACCTTGACAATGAAGCTGTAGCCCCTCTTGACTCCTTGAGAGAAAAGAGCAAGGGCTTTGGACGGCCGCTCTGAGTAGACGTCTAGAGTTGGTACGCGCACAATGTCGCCATAGAGTTGTTCTTCATCAGCCAGCTGGCCCTCCAGAAGAAGCTGATTCTGCCCAGCCCGACCCACAATGAAATCTGCATCAAACTGCAACTTTGCTTTCGCAAGCCAAGAATTGCGGACAGCCTGACGCCTCGCTTTGTTCTCAGCAGCCGAGAAAATGCCAATGTAAACACTGATCCTCTCCGTGGATAACTCGGGGACGGCCACTGGCCGTACAGCGGCAGTCGGCAACACACAGTGGCCACTCAGCGCAACAAGTACAAGCACAAGGTTCTCGAAAACAACAAAGGTCACCATCGTCGCGAAGTCTTGAGCAAGAAAAGAAGTTGTGGCACGGTACAAGAACTGCATGCACAACTCCTGAACGGCGTAAACCGAGGCAAGAGACGCAGCGAGAGCCGGAGAATGTTTGAAGCAAAGAGCCAAGAAGAACAACAAGAATGGACTGCCGAAACCTAAGCGGAAAGTGCCTAACTTTCTCCTTTCGGGTTTTGGAGTGGAGCTTAGGGTTTTGGAGTGTCCCCATCCGGCCGCGTTGGAGCATCATCGTCCCTGAGCGTTCTACATGAAACCCGTGTTCAAGAACAGACGGTACATTCAAAAAGACCATATAGTCAGAGTGTCTCTGCATGATGTTCGGATCACACCGAACATGTACTACAGCGAAGCTGTTCCGCCCTGGATGTACTGTATTGATCGAGAGAATATGAGGAAGGCGTGAACCACGTGATCTCCCGCGTGAAAGAGATGCCATTGTTATTCACCCAAAGCTCGGAAAAAAACGATTCCCGAAGAAAGGAAGGTCGATCAGGAGAGCTACCGTCGTCCATCCGCGCCATGCGTACATCGCCTGTTTCCGTTCCGTAAGGCAACAAATCTATGCCGCTTGCAGCGATGGCAATCGAAGATGTCAGCAGCCACATCCAGGCAAGCATCACACAGTTGGTCCGAGACACTCCGCTTGCATCCGCTTGCATCCGCTTGCAACATGTGTGAGCAGCAGCTGCGGCGACAGCGCAAGACACAAGATGAGCAAATCGAGGTCCTCGGGACCGGGCCTGCCCAGCTGTGAGTCATTAGTGGCAAGCCTGAGGCATCCTGACCAAACTTGAGGTATCCATAGGCCGGGTTTGTGGGGTATCCGGGTTCTTGCCTTGGTGTCATCAAACTTGAGACCCCAAGCTTGGATAGATAATCAACAAGACTGAAACGCTGCAACCATGTCCACAAGGTCAACAGCCTCGCAACCCAACAGATGGAGCAAGCAAGATCTTAACGTGTTGACAGTGTCGAGTGAATAAACGCTGGACGCAAATGGTCTCACATGTGACCACTCCAAGCGAATGCCAATCACATTGCCATTCTTCCATGCTTCTGTTGGTCCGAAAGTCCTCCTAAGCTCTCTCTAGCGATCAATGTACACATGTGACCAGAAGGAAACGCTTCCATTCCCAGAGGTCGGGTGACCAGCACCTGGCTCAACTTGCAAAGCTGCACCCCCGGTGAAGATATCCGAGGCTCCACCAGCATGCCTCGTAGAACATGCTTCGCTCGCAGGGGCTGGTCAGCAAAGCAGGTGCAAAAGCGACATCCCAATGTCACTTTCCAGCTTCATGCAATGCGCCCGGCGTAGCAACCAAACTAATCCCCTCCCCCTACTACTAACCCCCCCTACCCCCTAATATTGAACACCCCCCCCCCCCCATTATATTCCATAATAGAGCAATCATGGGAAGCTTTTCGAGTGGTCCCGCCTTGCCAAAGCCCTATAACTACAAATTGCTTAAGAACCCCCCAAAATCAAAAACACTAATCCTTAGATTCCGTTTTTTAGGTAGTATATGTTTTTCATATTTTTGGGGGGTTCTTCAGCAATTGGTAGATAACTTCCTTTCATAGACACGCACTTCCCTTTCACGGACACACAGAGCTTGCCCCGATTCCGAAATTGGCTCATCTCGGATATTTGAAAGACATCGACTCGTGACTCATATGACAACAGATTCATGGAATGTATGACAATACTTCACCAAGCATCTCGCGTCTACGAACATGATCAAGAAAATCGGACGACAAGTTGTGTTCTCGTGAAACTCACCACGGAAGTTCGTATGCGATGATCTAGATATGAATGGTTTTGAGACGTGAGGGCCGTGCTGGCAAGCCACTCCATGCAGAGCTTGTCTACCTCCCAAAGATCCAGCAGGTTACCCTAAAACCTAGATTTGACGGCTCAGCCAAAATCAGTTTTGAGGCTCGCGATCGTCCAGTCTCCGGCTACTGTGCTTGGGGCCGACTGCAACACAGCAAGCAACCCTGTTGATGTCATCTATCTATCCATCCATCTATCTAGTGTCTATACATACATACATACATACATACATACATACATACATACATACATACATACATACATACATACATACATACATACATACACACATTAGAATCAAGGCTGCGTCCCCCTTCGTGTCCCTCACTTCTCGTTTTTCAGGGTGAAGGTGGCAGACGTAGTGAGGACAACAAGGCCGAACAAAATCTTCGGAACATCGTATGCCTGGGTCTCCGTCAAAAAGGAAAGAACAAGGATCACTTTACAGGCTCCCGATAAAACAAGAATCTAGGAAACCCAGACCACCAAACAATGAATATAGGAGCCAAAAAAATCTCCACTACTATTTTGGGAGGGTTCCTGATTATGATTGTGGTACACTATACCACAGAACCCTTTTCTAATCATTAGGGCTTTAGAGCAGCCAAACGAGATTCCCCCCCCCCCCTAACGATGTGCAAGACACGGACTCCACACCCAGCAGCATCAGCACAACCCAGGTGGGGAAGACTGTGGAAATGTTTCCAGCGATGGTCTTTGCAACGGAGCCATTGACCTAGTTCATGGCTGGGATAGGCGCCTAGGGTCTAGGGTGTAGAAAGACAAATCATTGCTCGCCCTATTGGGTTCAAAGGACCTGGTAAGCCCTCAACCCTTTATGGGTGCGAACAAAGCTCCTCAACTAAGGGCCCCAGCCTTGCATGCCGTCGTCGACACCAGGGAGTGCAAAGCGCCAGCCACGACGAGGGTCCAAATCAGCGGCGACCAGGATGGCAGAGCCAAGACTGAAGCGCCTTCCTTGGAGCTCCTGCATCTGAACAGAACTCTAGACTCCAAGCTTGGGATGTTCCCTAAGCCCTAAACCCTAAACCCTAAACCCTAAACCCTAAACCCTAAACCTTATACTATCAGCATAAGGCTATCAGTTTTTTGGGGGGACATCCCAACTCCAAGGCCCTGAAATCTTATAGGGAGTAAGGCCGCGGAGGCCAAAAAAGGTTGGAAACCCCATGGCCTCCATCCCGAAGAGTAAAGTCTATAGGGAACCCCAGTACTACTTACTCGTCCTTGATCCCGGTTTCCAACTTTTCGGGTTGCTGGACGTAGGGCTTGTGAACCAAGAGCTTGGGGTTTAGGATCAGGTTTTAGGACTTAGGGACTTAGGGCCTCTGAACTAAAGGCTGAGGATTTAGGGTTTAAGTGTTCGGGCTTCGCGGAAGAATAACAGGTAGAAAAGCTTGGAAAGTAAACGGGAACCTTTAACAGAGCAGTCTGAGTCTAATCTATCTCCATCCGAGAGTGCTGAACAAACGCCCAATGCGGGACAGGGCGTTGGAACAAGATACGGAAAGTCAGATGAAGGTCCTGTCCAGAAGCATCATGATTGCGGCAGCCAAAGATTCACTTACCAGGCTCCAAGTATTCTGAAGCACCACGGGCTCTTGATGAGCTGAAGTAAGCAAATACTCACCGAGGACGTTGCCCAGCACGCTGAAGGCCATGGCAATGGCAGTGTATGCCACGCCCATCCCAGACGCAGCATCATGGGTATACTGGAAGCCTGCACAACCTTGGGTTCTTTTTATAAGCAGAATAAGGACGCCACATGATGTACTATGCTGACTTACATAAAAAGTTCCTGAACTAGAGCCACCTGATTTACTATGCAGTTACTATGCTAACTGAAACAAACCTCAATCCCAAGCCCTAAACCCTAAACCCCAAAACCCCTTTTTTGAACCCGCGTTGTGCAACTGGAATGCAAGTGCGTTATCGCTCCACGACAGCACCAGATCACATGAACAAGCTTCAGAATGAGCTCGCGCTCTGCACTGAACATTCCGGATTGAGTACTGACATCACAAGTATGCATGCTATACATGATTATGGGCGGTGCTGAGCCGTGTCTCGCCACAAGTGATCTCTCTAATGCACACTCACTCCCGCTGCACCTTGGCATGTTCTTCCCGACTCTCCCGAAGATGCATACGTTCTTCGCGTCTCTTTTTCTTCAGAGCAAAACGGTCACAGCGATCCAAGATTTGGAATCAGATGCCATGCCCTGTGCTGAATATGTCCCTTGTGCCGTGTTCTGTTGCTCCGTGCCAATGGTAGAACCACTCAAATCACATGGTCTTGCTACACTGAACACCTGAGCCTGCAACAGCATGACTTTCTGCTCAAGATTGGCAATGGCTTCGTTGCAAGGCTTGTCCCTTCAGGTGCTCTGCGCAGCCCCATCTCGCAGCATCATCTGCCGGCTCGTCAGAACTTCTCAAGTTTGTGCGTAATGCTTCGCTCGATATCAGCAATCCCGGATGCCTAAACCCTAAAACCCTAAACCCTAAAACCCTAAAACCCTAAACCCCAAAAACCCCAAAAACCCCAAAAGCCCCTGCACCATAAAGGTTCCTTAACAATTGAACCCAGGAGCCGCAGGTCAGAGCAAGGAGCAGTGTGTAGTCGGAGGCCTGGAGGGCCTCCCGGAACGTGAGACTTCGCAGGAGCACCATGGGAATCAACTGGAACTGCAACAAGACCTGGGGGGTTTGGGGCTTAGGGTTTAGGATTCGGGGGCTTGAGGAGGGTGTCAGGGCTTAGAGTTTAGAGCTTAGGATCTTAGGGTTTAGAGCTTAGGGCCTTGGGTCTAGGGTTCAGGTTTAGGATGGGAGACCTGCACCGAGCCAGCACTGATCTTTAGGAGAGCCATCATCTTGAAGACCTCGTAGAAGCCGAAGCAGAAGCCGGGTAGCGAGTATCTCGCAATGTTACGTGCCTGGGGCACAGAAGCCCGTGCCATCTCCAGAACACCCGAAGCCAAAGCCCTGAACTTAAGCCCTAAACCCTGAGATCCTAACTCTAAACCCTAGATGCTACCGTTGTGCTGTGCTGCTGTCGTGTAGCTTGCTGTAAAAACCCCTCGAGCAAATAAGATACCTGAGGGTCGTAGATTCTAGAAGGCTTTAGGTTATGACGTAAAACGCATACTCCCTACTTTAGGAGTCTACAGCTGCCTTCTTGAAAGAGAGAAGACGTAGAGGTGGTATGGTTTAATCCGAGCATCTGATTAATTAATACCCCCACATTTAAAGAAATGTTTTGTGGCCGGAAGCCCGCCGGAAGACTACTTTCCATTAGGGTGGATTTCGTATGGGACAAACCCCCCACATTTAAAGGAATTTTTTTGGGGGGGTTCAAAAATCTGTCGGCAGGCTTCTTGTTTTGCTTGCGGAGACGCACAGCTACAGCACCTCAGGGATCTGCATCGTATTGTTTTTAATAGAGAATCAATACAGGGCCACGGTCCAACTATTGCGGAACCCTGCACTCCTTATTGTGAGGGGGGGGGGGGGGGGGCCCCCCCACCCACTAATCAGAAGCTCGGATTAAATCCACTCCGTAACCAGGTATTCTACCAAACCCTACAAGTTCCATGATGCAAGTATGTATGTACGTACGTTTGTATGTGCGTATGTATGTACGCATTTATGTACGTCTGTAGAATGCACGTATGCGTGTGTCTATATGGTACCCGCTCTGCATGTACGCACGCCTTTCCGTTTAATTCTCAGCTTCAAGAAGGCCGTTTGGTGATTTGGACATTCCCCCTGCAGTGCTGTGATTTGGGGTACTATAGGGGCCTTCATAATCAAAATAGGGCTTTGGGGTTTATTGTACTTCTAATACTAATACTAATACCAAGACCAAAAACAACAGCTACTGCTACTGCTACTGCTACTGCTACTGCTACTGCTACTGCTACTGCTACTGCTGCTACTACTACTACTACTACTACTACTACTACTACTACTGCTGCTGCTGCTGCTGCTACTACTACTACTACTACTACTACTACTACTACTACTACTACTACTACTACTACTACTACTACTACTACTACTACTACTACTACTACTACTACTACTACTACTACTACTACTACTACTACTACTACTACTACTACTACTACTACTACTACTACTACTACTACTACTACTACTACTACTACTACTACTACTACTACTACTACTACTATACTACTACTATAACAAGCCGACAAAAAAAGTGTCGATAATCATGTGGACTCGTATGTTTCACATGCTGGCATAGGAAGCTGGATCCATCTTTCGTACTTTTAGACATATAACGTCACGGTTTAGGGTTTAGGGTTTAGGGTTTAGGGTTTAGGGTTTAGGGTTTAGGGTTTAGGGTTTAGGGTTTAGGGTCTAGGGTATAGGGTTTAGGGTTTAGGGTTTAGGGTTTAGGGTTTAGGGCTAGTTTCGGCACACGATTCAAGCACAGAGCGCAGGTACGTGAAGGATGGTATCAAACCGGCTGTTCGTCTAAGTCCTCTCAGGTATCCATGTATATGTGTTCTTGTTTGCTTGAAGCGTCATGTCGCACCTATTCCTCAACTACCCTGAGACACCAAAACCCCTTAATTCAGGAATATTCCTTCTACTATTTTGGGTTGCTTCTTACGAATTTCGGAACATTCCTGAAAAATTTACCGGGGGTTTTGGAGTCTCTGGGTACGGGGCATGGTCGGCTGGATGGCCTCGAAGCACCGCCAGAACGCGCCGAGGCTGGCCGCGTGGCCGGCGCCCAGAGACAAGCAAAGCAGCTTGGAGACCAGCACCTCGTCGTTGAGGACTTAGGGGCTTTGGGGTTTTATGGATTCTGCAGATTCCCTTTAAGGGGCTTTCGGGTTCCCTTTAAGGGGGCTTTAGGGTCGAAGGTTTAAGGTTTAGGGTTGAGGCTTTTGGGTTTAGCGTTTACGCATCTGATTGTCGCCACGGCGCAACTTGTGCTTGTACAACCAGCAATGAAGCTTCTGTCAGCTTGTGGAGCTCCCATATCAAGCCTTTTCTGCCAGGACGGTTTAGGGTTTAGGGTTAAGTAAATTTGCATGTAAGTTCCAGTTTCATTATGGCAAAGCACGGGCTTTCGGTAAAAAGGCCTTCTTACAGCTTCATAGGTCTCACCCACCTCTAACTCTAACCGACACAGTGAGTGAAAAAGAAGTCAGCTATGTACTACTTATCAATACCACAGTACAACTATCTGAAACTCTTTTTTGTGAAGCAAGAACCCTAAACCCTAAACCCTAAACCCTAAACCCTAAACCCTAAACCCCCTGCCTTGTAAGCTGTAGGAGATTATGTAAAGCGCGAAGACCGACACGGCGAGCACGCTGGTCCTGGCGCCAGATACAGCCGGCGACGATGTGGAGCTGGTCTTCCCTTCCTGGGTTGCTGCTGGGGTTTGTGGGGGTTTAGGGTTTAGGGCTTAGGGCTTAGGGCTTAGGGTTTAGGGTTTAGGGTTTAGGGTTTAGGGTTTAGGGTTTAGGGTTTAGGGTTTAGGGTTTAGGGTTTAGGGTTTAGGGTTTAGGGTTTAGGGTTTAGGGTTTAGGGTTTAGGGTTTAGGGGTTACGGTTTAGGGTTTGTAGTGTTTAGGCTTTGGGGTTTAGGGTGTAGGTTTAAGGGAAACTCAAACTTAGCTACCATTCATCATAAGGATCTATCGTACATGATGGGGTTTCCTTGTTGTGGTAACTGAAACTAAGCTCCTTAACGGCAACCTAGATTCGGACCCTGTGGTCTTTCCTAGGGCGAGACCAAAGATGTAGAAGCAAATGCCACCGGCAAGGAAGACCTGTCGTAGGGTTTCAGGGTTTAGGGGTTTTCCAAGGTTGTTGCAGGGATCCTTTTGAGCGGCTTTAACAGCTAAGGGTACAAGTACAGACTATGGCCCAGGTCTCGGTTGAGGCTTTAAGGGGTCCCACCAAGCATTTGTGAACAGGTACTACAAGACCAGCATAGTCAAAGTTATCCCAAATGGCCACTTAGACACTGGCCAAAATGGCTCCACGGTGTTCCAAACATTCTGAGACGGCCAGAAGGCTCCCAAGCCGGTCCTGACTGTATCTTCAAGCAACCATGAACGCACCATCTGATTCGCGAACTACGACACCTGGAAAAACCGCAGCAGAAGCTGCGGAACATCGTGGCTTGAGCCTAGCCACTGGCGGGATCAAGCTCTGCTTTGAAGAAGATCAGAGCGTTTAGGCTTATCATGTACCCGGCTTCCGAAGCCACTCCTAAAGACACCCTAAGACCCGAAGCTCCTGGAGAAAATCTTCAGGTCTCTTTTCAGCTAGGCCAACGGTAGATCCAGGGGTGAGAATGGCGAAGCCTCGGCGAAATCTGCCAGCAAGACCGGGATTCCCTTGCCGAACTTGGCCTCGTAGAGGTGGCGTAGCTTGAGAGCTGCTTCAAGGCTCTGACGGTATTGTGCAGTTTCGACGGATACCGAGCGACAGAAGACTGCAGACACCTGATGAGAGTTATTCGGATCGTAGGGCAGGACGACCTCGTTGTAGGTGAGTCCGTGATAATGGTCAGCGACACTGAAGCTGCCACATTTCCTCACTGTGTCCTTCCAGGCTCTCTGCATCTTCAACCCTCCAGCCAAGCCTCCAGATTTCTGCCCGTCCCCAGCAGGATTGTAGGGACAGCCGCTGCATTTCCAATTTGAGAAAGCTGACCACTCAGTCAAGGAGCAGCCTGGCGTGGAATACGCGCGGCACTTGCACTGATGTTCGTCAGTCTTCCTCTGGGATTTGAAGTAGCTAGGGAGAAGAAAAAGCATAAACTTGCATTGCATATAGAGGAAAGGAAACAGACCTTCCAAAAAGCAGAATAGTAGTTCTAACCTTCCAAAAAAAGCATCATCCGAGAACTAAACATCACAGCAGAAAGGTATAGTACTCCAGAACCCAGTCCTATCACAGTTCCCACCAGAAGTTGACTTCACCAGACCTTGGGTGTTGAGCACGCTGGCCCAAAAAAGGTTAACCAATACCATGTTGGTAGGATCCTACGGGCCCCAAAAACCTTAAAGGTTACCTACCCAGCTACTAAGAAGCTCAACCCTATAAACCCTAGAGACCCCATATGGAGCCCTTAGAGGAACCTTAAGGGTTACCTGCCCTAAAACCGAAACCCTAAAACCCTAAACCGCGAAACACCTACTCAGCTACTGAGAAACGATCCCCACAGCCAGAGCCATCTCGCCCTCCAGTGCAGCCATCCACTGGATAGAAGCATCGCCACCTTTGGGAGCTTTTAGGTTTCAGGATTTGGGGTTTAGGGTTTAGGAGGGCTTAGGGCTCCGGAAGATCAGGGCACCAAAACACCGAACCACAAATGATAGTATCCTTGGTGTGATGGTAGAAGTGTGTGATTATGTGTATATATATATATATATGTATATATGGTACCCCCCCCCCCCCTCATATGCCCACACTTTTTCCTCTCAGATGCCATGGTAGGGTTTAGAGGTTTAGGATTTCGAAGCCTCCTAAATCAGCGAGCACGAAAGCGCTCTACTGTACCAATGTTTTCGGCCCAAAAGAGCAAAAACGCTGTACTGTCCCAAAAAAACCAATCTTTTTAGGCCAAACACAAGCAAAACTGCTGTACTGTCCCAAAAAAACCGAAAAAAATTAGAGACCTTGGACGCCAAGTGGCCTGGAGGTCTACATTTGGTTTTTTGGGGACAGTACAGCATTTTTGCACTTTTTGCCTTAAAAAGATTGGTTTTTTTGTGACAGTACAACACTTTCGAGGCATGGGAGTGCAAAAACGCTGTACTGTCCAGAAAAAACCAATGTTTTTAGGCGAAAAACTGCAAAAATGCTGTACTGTCCCACAAAAACCAAAGTTTGGAGACCTCCAGGCCCTGGAGGAGCCCAAGGTCTCCAAACTTTGGTTTTTTTGGTTTTTTTGGGACAGTACAGCATTTTTGCACTTTTTGCCTTAAAAAGATTGGTTTTTTTGGGACAGTACAGCACTTTCGGGGCCTGGGAGTGCAAAAACGCTGTACTGTCCCAAAAAAAACAATGTTTATTGGGCCAAAACCTGCAAAAATGCTGTACTGTCCAAAAAAAACCAAAAAAAACAAATTTGGAGACCTCCAGGCCCTGGAGGAGCCCAAGGTCTCCAAACTTTGGTTTTATTGGTTTTTTTTGGGACAGTACAGCATTTTTGCACTTTTTGCATTGAAAAGGTTGGTTTGGACAGTACAGCACTTTCGAGGCCTGGGAGTGCAAAAACGCTATACTGTCCCACAAAAACAATCTTTTAAGCCGATTCACATTCTTTTATACAGGAGTCCTATTGGCGCCTATTCATTTTAGTAAGATTCCTTCTCATTTTAACAGGATTCCTATTAATTATAACCGGGTCTTTTCAATTTGGTAAGGGTTCCTATTCATTTTAGTGGCTTCCTATTGGTTAAGGCTCATATTCATTTAGTAGGATTCCTATTAATACTTGTTGAAGGAATCGTATTTTTTCACAGGAGTCCTATTAGTTCCTGTCATTGGTTCCTATTAATTTTAGTAGGGGCCCCTCTTCAGTTTATTAGGATTCCTGTCAAGTATAATTGTGTTCTCATTAACTTTAATCGGGTTCCTATTCATGTTAATAGGCTTCCTATTAACTTTATATACAGGCCGATCAATTTTAATAGGGTTCCTATGGGTTTTAATGGAGGATTCCTATTTTCTGTTTATTAAATTCCAATAAATTTTCATAGTTGCCCTAAATATTTTAATAAGGCTCGTGCAAATGGAATATGTTTCCTATCAATTTTAAATAGGATTCTGTCATTTGAATAGCGTTCCCATAGAATTTAATAGAATTAAGCGTTCTCGGGTTCTCATTCATGTTAAAGGGTTTCCTTTTCACTTTAATAAGATTCCGATTAAAACAAAATGAATCCTATGAACCCCATTAAATTTGATAGGAACGCTATTCACATGCATAGGATTTCTATTTAAATCATAGCATGCAATGAGCAAATTGTTCAGGTGACTTCTGCTGGAGTGTTTATGGGAGTCCCTCCCCCCTTTAAAACCACCGCGCATGGCGGAATGTAGTATTTTTATCTGGAAACCATGCTGAAGCGTGGGCGCATGGGGGGGGGGGTAGCATATATGGTACTATATATATATATATACATATATACATATATACACACACACATTTGTGACATACATATATATATATATACATATACAACTTCTTTTAAAGAAATATGTGAGAAGATCCTCAACGTAAGGATCCTCCAAAGGCCCAAGAAGCCGCCCCGAGATTTGCCGAACCTCCCCGCCTCTTGCCGTAGTGCGTCGCGTTGAGAAGCAGACCGCACACGCCGTGCGGCCAGAGGTCCAGGCCATAGTCCTCTCTTTTTTTGAGACAGGGTTTAGGGTTGAGGGTTAAACCCTAAACCCTAAGGCTTAAGGATAACCAGGCCCAAGGAAGCTCCAGCTTCTTTTAGGATAGACTGAATAGATGAGCCCAAAAAGTTCTAACAACGATTATTAAACTCTTCAGATAGATTGAACGTATAAGCCACAAAAACTAAAGTTCAGATAAACTGAATGCATGATCCCCAAACAATGAAAGCTAAACGTTGGCCAAAGTAGGAGTCTTCCATCATGCCCGCATTGAGGAGGCTGGCGGACATGATCTTCTTGTGCGCAGAAACCTCGGCTTCTCTTGGAGGGGTTCGGGTTCAGGGTTCAGGGGGCTTTAGGGGCTTTAAAATTCAAGGTTTTAGGGCTTTAGGGTCCAGGATTTAGGGGCTTTAGGGTGTAGGGTTTCTTGGGGGGGGAGGGGGTAGGGTTTAGGGTTTGGGGTTTGGAGTTTGGGGTTTGGGGTTTGGGGTTTGGGGTTTGGGGTTTGGGGTCTGGGGTCTGGGGTCTGGGGTCTGGGGTCTGGGGTTTGGGGTTTGGGGTTTGGGGTTTGGGGTTTGGGGTGGGGGGTGTCAGGTTTGAGGCAATATCATACATGTCGAAGCTTCATGTTGCACCTGCCCCACGTATCCTCTAAAGCAACAACTACTACACACCGCCCAGAAGCGACGTCATCCCAGGACCCTGCTTTCTGGACCATCTTGGTGAAGCCATCTTCTGCAAGGGTCTGAAGCTGACTCCGGCCATGTACATAAGTCCAGCTTTCGAAGAGGACCTTACTTGGAGTTCACGGTACTTAGTAGCCAATTATAACTGTACTAATAACCCACTTATAAGCCCCTTAAGTGCCCTAATATGGTTCTAAGTACAGTTATAAGTACAGTTATAAGTTATAATTGGTTAACAAGTACCGTCAACCTCCAAGTACTTCTCCAATAACGAAGGGGGGAGAAAAAAAATAAACTTGAGGATTCCTACTCAAGTAAGGAAGCCCAAAGAGTTTATAAAGGGTGAAGCTTTATTATTCCTACTAAAAAATAGGAAGAATAGGAAAAATAGGAAGCCCTTTAAAATGTTTAAAGTTCAGCTGTTGGAGAAGTAAGGCACTCTCACGAGCACACCGACCTCGGCCAGATTCTCGGAGTCGGTTCCTTACTTTTCCCGTAACCTTAAAGGAAAAAAAAGTCACACTTCATTATTCCTCCTACATAAAGAAACCCAGAAAGTTTGCAAAAGTTCCGCGGTTGGAGGAGTAAGGTTCCGTTCTGGAAACTTTCGCTGAGGAAGGCAGCTTCCGCGTCCAGCTCACTCTGCTCCCCGGCGGTGCGGATCGCGGTAACTGCGCTCTTCCATAGGGCCATGGCGGCCCATAGGGCTATGAGTATGCGGAGGGAGCTCATCACCTTGGGCGACGAGTTTGCCGCATTTAGGCATAGGAATTAAACAAACTTCATGGCACTTCGAGCCGTGTGGGTCCAACGCAAGTAACGTCGCTGCAGGCGGATCAATTTCGCAGTGCAGCACTGATCTTCAAGTCCCATAACCCCAATGCATGATTTAGGGTTTAGGGTTTACGGTTCATGGTTTTGGGTTTAGGGTTTAGGGTTTAGGGTTTAGAGCTTAGGGTTTACGGTTTAGGGTTTAGGGTTTAGGGTTTACGGGATGAGGGCTTCGTAAACGACATTCCCCGTGCAGTCTGCAAGGACTCATTTAACAGACTTTCTCTTGTGTTCACAGCCTCGCGCGTTGGCTCCCCAAAAACTTTTTGGGCCCGAATCTCATGACCCGCCCCCAAAAGAGGATGTCTTAGCTGCAGGCCCTCAGACCCGAGGTCTGAAGCCCCACGCCAAACCGCCAAACCGAGGGTGTGGAACATGGAAACCCCCACCATGGCCAGGGCTCGCCCTTACGACGACGTTTGGGGTTTTGGGGCTTTGTCGGGGGACGAAGAGACCCCCAGCTCCCCCGGGACACCTCCCGTCTCAGCCCACAAAATGGCTAGGGTTTGGGGCTTGGGGCTTCTAGCGATATTCTAGCGGTTTCGGATTCGGCGGGCCTGGACCAAGTTTGACAGGCGATTCCTTCGACACCTGGTGGGCGCAGCGACCCTTTATCCAACCCTACCCCCCACTTTCCGACAACGGGGGAAAACGAGAGCTTCTCGACATCCCAAATGACCCCCTGCTGCTCAAAGGTGACCCTCTCTTTTTCCGGCAGGCAGATGGGAGCTGGAGAGCTTCACCTGAACAGGTCCGCCTACTTGAAGGCACAGCGGAGGCCCTTAAGAGGGCACTTTACAGCCCCTGTGCTTCGTTTCCTCCCGGGCGCCCGGGAGGCCAAAGAGTTGGTTTTCGAGAGGCGGGGCCTTCTTAGACTTCTGAGAGTGCTATACCCTCCTTGCGCACCTTCCCTCATGTGATGAGGGGGCCCAAAGGGGATATAAAGAGAGGTGGAGAGGCCTTGTGCTGTCTGTCGGATCTGTGCAAGGAGCTTCAGAAGAAATGGTCCAGGCCCAGTCTCTCCACTGCTTGCATCGTATCTGAGCCCGCCAACGCCTAGGGCCATCGGGACTTTTGGGACTTCCACACAGACTGCGACCTTGGATGTCTTGAAAGGTGCACTGCAAGGAACAGCGCGGAGCCATGAGACCAGAATGCCCGCCTCGATGGCCGCACGCTGAGGCTACGGAAGGGCCTTGCTCAGAGTCTCAAAAGATGCTTGGGCTTAGGGAGTCTTAAGGGGCTGTGGCAAGGCCCCTTGCTTGGAATGCATCATGGGCGTGGCCTCCACTACGCAAAGCAAGTGCAAAGGAAACTGTTGCAGCCCGACACCGCTCCGCTGCTTCTCAAAGTCTGCCACTTGCCCAGCCATTACGAGATCCCCAGCGTGTTAGGAGGGGGGATGGAAAATGGAGCTGCCAATAATGCCTGACGTATTTGGGAGCTGTCCTGGCTACGAGGCTCCGCAACTCCGGCCTCTCACGTGGTTGCCCAACGCCAGGATACACAGGCGAGAAAGGACAATGGTAATTTCATGCGCCGAGGGTCCTGCCATCTTGCATGAGCCTGCCAGCCAAACAAGCCCAAAAATGGAGACGGACACTGGCACGTCACCCGAGACCCTGCCTCCCTCCATTTACAGTGGGGGTATTACGAGCAGAGCTTCAACGGAGACTCTCCGCCATGTGCAGCACTGCGCTGGTGCTGAAGAGGTGATACCTCTCTTGCACACGACATACCCTTCTCACAAGCCACGTCAGCAGTCACGGCGCCACACTCGGAGCCACAACTGTACAAGAAAGTTCTCACGGCAAAATGGGGGGGGGGGGTGTGAATAGAAGGGAGGTGGCGCCATGCCACTAGGCTCCAGCCCGTCGGTGCGGGACGTATGGCATACGACGTGTGGACCGCGCGCTGCGGGCCAACAAGCGGCAAAGCCATTACCTGAGAATCAACGTCCTCTTTCACACGGCGCTGCCTAGTTGCCCCGCATCACTCTGCCTGAGGCCTGTGGTGTAACCTTCACCATCTGAAGCACCAGGCCGCCACTTGGTACTGTGAGCTAGGTGATAGGACATGTCACATCGGAGAACCCCTTGCAGGGGCAGCTCACCCTCAAAGACCGCTAATGGGCAGCTGCACAGCGGCCAGGGGCCAAGACAGCATTCAAGTGCATCGGAATTGGCTACCTTGCCGACTGAGCTTTGGGATTCTCCAACGGCGCTCTTGCGGAACTCTCAAGCTACGAAGCAACGCGGCATGCTGAGCAAGTTGGACCACTTTCTTCTTCCATGACAATCTTCAAAAAACACCTGCCTCCTGAGCAGAGCTGCCTACTCCACGTCGCATCTACACTTCGAGCTTGCCTCTTCTAACTTAAAGACACACGTATCACCTACCGGCAGGAGACCACTCCTGCTAGTATGCTGGCTTCATTCCAGCTGCATGTGCAGCTTTCGTTTCTGCCGTGCTGAGGGCTGCCACTTCCTCGCGGCAATCTCCGAACTCACAGCCTTGTGGGAGGATTTAGGCAGTTGTGCAAATGGATCCTTCGTGATGGTACTTCGCGCGAGGCGTGAGGTTTCTTGGAGCCCCCCCTGTGCTTTCCAGCTTCCTCTGCGCAACTCCAACCTTGGCCACGCTTAGCGGCTTAGCGGCTTGGCGGCTTGGCCTGGTCTGCCATCTGAACTTTCTTTTTCCTGAAGCCCCCTCCCGGAGCTGCCCTTAAGCTGTATGGCAATTGCACCGCACCGCCACATTGTGACCCACCTCACGGCCTCACGGATCCCCCTTGTTCGGTCGGAGTCGGCCTCCAAGTCCTCGTCCAGTCGGCCTAAGACTTAAGAACTTTTGACAGTCAGAGTCTCTGAGTCTGCTGGTGAGGCTTGCTTAAGGCCAAAGGCGGCGGGGCCTGTGTCTTCGGCAAAGGGATCCTCCCCAGCCTAGAGAGGAACCCACCACAACTTACAGGTTGTGCCTTAGAATGGCAGCAGCAAAGCCGAGGCCCAAGACTTTTCAAGACTCCAAGACCCAAAGGCAACAACCCAAAACAACCCTTGGCTCCGCCTCACACGGTGAAGGCGCGCCGAAGCAAGGCCTGTGATGGCCCCGAGCTAATCCTTAAACCCCAAGACGGTGGCCCTGAGAGGTTTCAACCTTATCTCCAAGGCCCTGCGACCATCCTCTGCCTCAAGCAGGTCAAGCAGGTCCCACAGGTCCCACAGGCACAGAGACCCTCATTGAGGCCTTGATCCGCGAGGTCCCTGTGAAGGACTCGAAGGCTGCCAAGGACTTCGGTCACCTGCAGGCTTTCCCTTTGAAACCGTCCGCTTTTGAGGAAAAGGAATGCTGGCCCCAAGGCTTTGCACTGCTCAACGGGAACTTCTCTCTGGGGGGGCTACCTGAAAGGCACACATCCTGCCTCCATGGGCTCCATGATGTGTGGGTCATCAAGGCCCAGGCCTGCTGTTGCAGAGCAGCAAGATGGAATCGAGGAACGTCGGGCACTCGATCACATCACAGCATGGAAGACCAGCTCAAGGTCAACGGAAGCTGTGGGCCGAGCTGTGGACCGCCTCGGGCCGGGGAGCACCCGGGAGCGCCGATTGGCGCCCAAGGGCACTAGCCAGCTTCTACTGCGGAGAAAACACAAAAGTCACACGGCGCGACAGCCATCATAGCCATCCAAAGCCTTTACTTTGGTTACATGCTTTGGCCTCTCAGTCTTGGACAGAGGCCAGAAAACCTCCGAAAATCTTTTCAGAGGGTTCGGTCTGGCGCCCAGACATCGCGTTGCATGGTTCTGCCTAACCCTTATCGGCCCTTCACTGGCCTTCCCCGATCGCCAGGCAACCGGGAACCCTCCCCCCACAAAGCTGCCGAAAACGTTGCGCACACCTTGGTGCCCCAAACTTCCTTGGACCCGGACCCAGCACTTGAGCCTGAAACATCCTCTTTCACACCCGGGTCTGAAGCACCCGCCTTTGTGCGGTGCGCTCTGTGAAAGCCAGACATAAAGGCACTCATCATCCCGCAAGGCTCATGCACTGATGCACTGGAGGGGAAAGCAACGAGCTCTTTTGGTTGTGTGCCTTTGCTTCTTGGTGTTCTTGGTGTTCTTGGTGGCATGCCAGTCTAGCAAAATCCTAGCGCATTCTGATGACGGAAGTGGTCGAAGCTTCGCGTCCGTTTGCCAAAGCAACCGACGCAACTCGCTCGCCGCGCCTTTCCTCCAGGCCACCGCAGAACCTCAAGCGGCTAGAAGTGGAGTTTCCTGTTCGACCCCAGCACTGCATTAGGGCCGTCGGGCTAGCACCTGCCTCACGAACGATGCCCTGCTCGAAAGCCACGCCAGCAGGCACGGCGCGGGCAGGAAGTGTTCCAACTAGTTATGCCAGAGGTCAGGCCACGCAAGGCAGCTCAAATGCACAACTTCAGGGGCACGCCGTGACTCTTTCGGTTGCGCGTTTTTTGCCTCTTGGGGGCATGCTGGTCTAAAGGGAACCCAACACGTTCCTGTGGATGCAAAAAGCGGTCGAAGCTTCTCGTGGGTACTACAATTCGACACAACACGCTCCCCGCCTTTCCACGAGGCCTTCCACTGCATAACCTCATTATGAGCAAAGCTTCAGCAGCAGAGATTCCCCGACCCCAGGAGCACCACTGCGCTGGTGCTGAAGAGCTACTAAGATACGACCTGTCTTACGAGTCTTACGGACGATGCCCTTCTCGCAAGCCGCGCAGGCAGGGACGACGCCTGGCGACGCAATGGAAAACCAGAGTTGGGCAGGAAACCTTCCATCCAGCTCGACATGCCTGCAGGCCGATCACATGAGTGTTGCGCCACAACCGCGGCCAAGAAAAACACGAGAAAAGAAACACTGCAAGTGCTAGACAATGCT